TGTAATTATAAATCTGCCCCCTTTCTCTTCCGCAGAGAGGGAGGCAGGCACAAAGAACATTCCTGCCAAACCTGCCTCTTTTCTAAAGGACTTCAAGCTTCCAAATGCCAATGGGGGAAAAATAGCTGAGGGGCCGAACGCCTCAAAAATAAATAAACCCACCCCAACCCTTCTGTTCACTTTGTGGACCAGACACGGCACTGGGAGGCACTGGGACGTTCCCTCACCTGTCATCTTCGGTAAAACAGATACAAAAATTTGGAGAAACAACCCCTTGGGGGCGGGGCGGACGGGTTAAGGGGGAGTTGAAGCATGGAATCTGCTTTTGATTTAAGGAGGGGAATACATCTCTTTTTCTCTACAGACCATAGAATCTTCTCCCCCACCCCACGTTTAAGGCCAATTAAAGCTACAAACAGTAAACTGCTGGCACTTTGTGGTTTTGAGACCTCTTGTTCCAGTTTTACCAGCAATACAGTACTTTGGCGGGAGGAATGGGTCAGTGTTTGCTGAGACAATTTTATTTTTAGTTTTATGAAATGTGAAAGAATGTTAGGTTTTAAATCACGGGCCTATTATTTTAGACTCAGATTGATGTAGGTGCTTGACTCTTAAAATTAAAACTGCTCCTATACAACAGTGTTATGAAAGTATGATTTATTCTTTATTTTGTAATGTAATGGCTTAAATTAGTCATTCAAAGTGCACCGTGACTACTTGGTTGAGGATTTTTCTCCCTCGAGTAAAATCCTATTTTAAGGCCATTTCACTGTTGCAAATTGACTCTATTTGAGCAATCTGGTCTGAAATGCAGTTCTAGGATGCTTAAAACTATGCGCTGCATCCCTTGAAGACACCAGGCAATGGGAAGAACAACGAATGCTGCATGTGGTCATAAAGTGGCAAGAACTGTTTACCTTGCTGGTCCACTGCTGGCCCGAGTAGAGTCTGCAAGGGACCATTTTCAGGGGTGTCCATGACCGCCCACCCTGTCCTTTTCTAAGGCCTTGCTATTTGCTTGTCAATTTTATCTTCATAATTTTCTGTCTATCCCAACGTGAATCTCAAGACAATAAAAGATAACACATCTAAGAGAAATCGAATGTAGTGTGCCCTGAAGAATCTTTTGTAAGAACTTTCTCTGCCTGAGGATATGCCAGTGTAACTGCTAACTGGAAAAAAAACTACAGCCAGGAATCTTAAACAAAAGTAGCAATGTAGTTAAAGTATAACTTCTAACTGCCCAATAAATTGCAACCAGTAAATATAGCCAGATAGCCTCGTTGTCTATAAAAGGGCTTTAACCTAGTGGCAATACTTATTACATTAGGTAATATTAGGTTTTAATTTGGGGGAAGGACTAATTTGGGGAGGGACTAATTTGTTATCCTGACATGCCAACCTCATGCCATTTTTCAGAAATTGATGACTTTACCATATTTCCTTGAGAATAAGAGTCCTTTATCCCTTTAAGACTCTACCTCCCCTTGCCATGCCAAATTTCAAAAGGAGAACAATCTTAGTAAGACACAGGAGGAAGAGATTAGCCATTTTTTTTTTGGTATTTTGTCAGAGGGAAATGGCTACATATATATTCTTTGTTACAT